CATGTTGTTTACTAAAACAAAAACTTGAAAAACGAATGAAAAAAAAAAATTGATAAGTAGTTTAGTACTCACGATGGTTAAACTTCGTGAGTACTGTATTTATGCACGACGTTTTTACGAAGTTCAACCATCGTGAGTACGAAACTACTTATTGGTGTTTTTTTTTTCATTCGTTTTTCAAGTTCTTGTTTTAGTGAACAACATGGATGCAGTACTAACGTTTACAGAGCTTCGTTTTTCCTGTGGGTCTGGCGATCCCCTTGTTACCTAAGAAATTGTGTCTATACCCATCTCATGTTTAAAGAACTTTGTTCTTACTGAGGGTCCCATGACTTATTAATATTGTTGTTACTTTAAGTGTTTTACTAGTTTTGTGGTCTTACGTTTTCATTAACGTGTATTTCATTTTTTTCAGTTATATTTATATTGATACTCTTTGGCATTTTATTTATATTATCAAAAAGTTTCTTTAAATTTTCTGTCTTATCTTTATTTATTTGTTCAATTTTCTAGTTATCTCTCAGTTTTCGTCTTGTCTTAATTAAAATCGTTTTACACAATATAATCCTGTTGAAAAACCGTGCTTGAAATTTTTCCTGCTTATAAAAAATACGTTCATTATCTTTTCTTCATTAATTATTTTCATTTTTAGTAATACCATGCACAAAGTTTCTCTGACACCATAATTTGTCTTCACCTTACTAATGTTATTTTTCTGACTCATTTTTCCAGTGTAACAGTTTTAAGTTAATAATCAATATATTTGCACCAGAAATATAAATTTCTTGTACTTATAATGTATCTTGAAAATGACTGTTATCCTGGTGAACAAAGACAAAACCAGGTTTTCGAATCCATATCTATCATTTTTGTTTTAATTAGCTTATTAAAAATTTTTTGTTGAATATTCTTTTATTTGTTCTCTTATTTCTTTAACCTTTTTCAACAAAAATCTATAAATTAAATATTATCTTAACCAATGCAAAATTCCAATAACTCCTCAGATAGAGTAACCCAAGAGCGAGACGGTAGGGCGTGATGGGAGATCTTCAGGGAATGTAACCATGAACGAAATAAATGCACGCGTTTAACAGTTAATGGAGTTTGAGATTTTGTTTATTCGTGAGATCATGGTAGACAGTGCAGGCATAGTTAAAATGCAGAAAAATTAGAGTTCCAACGAGGCGCTTCTTGATTGAGCGGGAAAGAGCATGCTTGTGAAAATGCAGTGAGTAGAGGGCTCTATAGACACGACTTGATATTTGATTAATATGACGGTCCCAGTTCAAATTTCAAGATATTTGGCACCCTAAATTGGTCATGCTGTTTGAGTAGCTCACTGTAGTATTGTCAATAACAACGCGAGGGAGAAGCGACGTACGTAGGTTGGAAATGTTGGGTTGGCTACTGGAGATGACGAGTCTGGTTTTGTTGGGATTTAGTTGGATGTGATTGTCTTGAGCCCAGCTACTTACCTGCAGTGCGTCTTCCTTCCGCTTTTCTATACTCTGCGGAAGCTCGAAAGGGAGACAATGCAAAGGAAGATAAGGTTGTCGTTCGCATAGATACCGTGCTTGGAGTGAGCGAGTACTTGTGGAAGATGGTTGATGAGAATGGTGAAGAGTAATAGCCCGAGAACACTTCCTTGCAGGACACCAGCAAAGGTGATGATCGGGGTTGATGGTGGGCCCGTTTTGCTTTTAACCATTTACGAGTGGCCAGTTAAATAGCTCGCGAACTATTTGATGATACGAATTGAGCAGCTTAAGGCTTGTAGTCTGCGTAGGATTTGTTTATGAGGGACGGTGTCGAAGGCTTTCAAGAAGTGAAAGTAAATCGTCAGAGTTACTATTCTTTGGTCGATAGTTAGTCTAAGTTGCTCAATGAATCCTAGAAGAGCAAATTAAGTAAAATGCAAGGGCTTGAACTCTGATTGATGCGAGTCCAGCAGCTTTTGAGACAATACGTAGGTGCTAAGTTGTTCATAAATTATGCGCTCAAAAAGTTTTGATATTACCAAGTGAAATGCTATGGGACGTGTATCTGAGGGTGTTTGTGGGGGGTGAGATTTGGAGAGTGGTAGAATTGAAGATAACTTTCAGTCGTCTGGAAAAAGAGCTGGCTCAATTGAATTGTTGAAGATTTTTATTAAGTGAGAGCAAATGCCAGGGTAGATCAACTTGAGCACGTCAGTGGAAATTTGGTCAGGGCCCGCCGAATTTTTAGATATTTTGGTAAGAGCCCGATCAATATCTCCACCGGTAATAGGTGCAAATTCGAACACGCTGGGCTGGTTCAATTACGAAGTGAGTGAAGAGTAACTTCTGCGGTATCGGTGCAATGTAGTAGTGGAAAGGCACGAGTAACTGTAGCATAGTGGTCGTTTAGTGTTTTGGGCGAAAAGCACTTTAGTGAAGAGGCAGAAGATTGGGCTGAGAGGCAAATGTTTCTGAGAAGACACCAAACTATCTTAGGGTCGAAGGATGAGCTGAGAAAGGTCGAGTAATATCGGTTTTTTGCTACGTCTATGCTGTCTCTTACCTGGGAGCGTAAGGCGGTGAACGACAGAAGATCAGACAGCAATTCTGTCACTCTGGTCCTTCGGTAAGCTACTACTTTGACTGATATGAGTGCGTGAATGTCCATGGATAGCCATAACTTATATCTTGGAAAAACTATGCGTTGTCTGTAGGGTGCGTAGTTATCAAAGACATTAGATAGTGCGTTTGTAAGATTTCTTACTTTTACAGAGACATCACAGGGATGAATGTGCAAGTTGGGCGATAAAGAATCAGTTTAAGTTTTGTCATGCCCAGCTAAAGAGGATAAGCTGAATACAGCCGTGATGTATTCTTCAAGGCAAATGAGATGAACGTTTTTCAAATTGTGAGATAAAATAATTTTTGGGGGCAGATCAGTGGATCGGAAGTGGTAGTCGAGTGTGATGAGATCATGTCCTCCTGCAAAAGGTGTGGTAGATTTTGAATATGCGTTGACTAGACCAGACGATGAGACGATAAGGAGATTGAGCCAAGAGCCAACGTAATTTCCGTCATTCCAAAGGATATGAAAGGTTGGATCTCGAGGGACAAGTTTTAAATCGTACGAAAACAAAAGATTAGAAAAAGAAGTAGAGTCGGGGTGTACTTTGTACATGAGAAAGTTGAAGTCGCCAGTAATAATTATGGTGATGTAGTTGGGCAGAAAGGTCAATAGTATGTTAAACAGCTTCACAGGGTATGCAGCGTGTGGTCTGCGATAGATCATGGCAAGTAGAACTTTGTGCCCCCCACTGATGCCTCAACCACTAAGCATTCGGGACAGTTGTCAAACTGATGATTCGAACAGGCCAGAATTTTATAACTGTAGCAGTCCCTAATGTAGAAAGCGACAACACCACCTGCTTCTCCGATACGATCTTGACGTAGGAGGCTGAAACCATCGAGTTTGAATGGTGTATGCAGGATGCCAGGTTCGAGAAGAGTTTCTGAGAGAGCAATAGTGTTATATGCACGACTGTTAGCTAGAAAGTACTCGAAATCATTAAAGTGGGCAAATAAGTGATTAATATTACTGTGACAGATAAAAAAACAACCTCTTTTCGCGGGGCGGCCCAGCTGGGCTGCGGTTTCTCAAGCACTAGATGAGCGTGCTGCGAGATGTTGAAAGTAGTCAGGTAAATTGAAGGGGATTAGCTTAAAGTTCTTATCTGGATGCATACAGACTATTAGATTTCTAACTAAGGGGCGTAAATATTGAAGCTCTTTCGATTTAATGATAGTTTTTTTGAGCAGTACGTGGGTTTGGCGTGGCCAAAAAGGACGCATCGTGACTCAACTATCACCTCCACAGCCAAAGACATCTTGAGACTTTTTGTCCTTCAACATATGCAAATTACTTATGATGTCATTACGGATTCCTGATGAAAATATTTTGATCGTGACGAACGTAGTATCATTGTCATTAGAGGACGTGCCAGCTTGTGTCGATGGACTGACTGCAGATGTGATTGAGTGCTTGCAGATTATCAGTCAGCTCTAGAACAGTGTAGATGGAGCCGGCCCAATTCTCAGAAAAGCATTTCAGAATTCCCGAAATGCAAATCTCGCAGGTATCCGTAAGTGTCGCGCACTTCATCAGGATATTTAACTCTCCCTGGGTTTGCATCGCCACCCCATGGGCCTCCGCGCTTGAGGCCTCCAGCTTGTCTATGCGACCAGAGAGTTTCTTGAACTTGCTGTTGATAGAATTTACAAAAGGACAAAATCTGGTCGTGGTCCACGTAGCAAACCAGGGCAGAGGATTTGCACTCATATTGTCGAAAGGCCCGATGTCGAAGCGTTCTGTTGTACTTAGTTTAGACGTCTGTGTGACGGCGGGGATGGCAAAGATCGATGGGCAGAGAGGTGTTTTTGAGTGCGTAAAGTGGAGGAGGTCGATGAGGTGAGAGTAGTCAGGGCGGAGGAGTGGCCCAAAGTGTAGGATGGGCTGGGGATGCTTACAGGCGTCGGTTGAGTGAGTAGCGGGGATAGAGAGGATCAAGAACTCTGGTTGAGTTTTACTTTGGTATTGTCTAGCATATTCTGTTAACTTACGCAGTATTTTTTCTTGGGTTTTACGTCCAAGCCATCCGGGAGGCTGCTGGCTCTTACAACTTGAGCATAAATGACACGGCTCACCTTTTTGAGCCTGGCTTCTCCAGTTTTGTCTGTCAACCAAATTTTTTGAGGTTAGCGGTCTTCGGTGCCATCTGGTCAGTGATTTCTGGTATCCTCTGTGTTTTTACTATTGACAACTATCCCACCTAGTCTGCGCACGCAATTCGTCCCAACCTTCAAGACGTGATCTTTAAATACCTGTCTTCCAGCGGGGCCATACTGCACCTCACCTTCTAACAGCTAAGTCAGCCCAGTTACCTGCATACTGGCACTTTCCTTCTTTCTAGTGTTATTAACCCTACTCGTGCCTTCGTTTATTTTGATGGATGCTTGCGCTAAGAAATGAGTGAGTGCGTATGTTCTGCATGTGATTCAATTATTGACCATGGCATTAAACCTTATCGAAAGTGTGAATTATGTGGCCAAACTTCTTACTTGTACTGTCTAAAGGGCAAGTGGAGTTGCAATTTTGTTGTTTACCAGTATGCTTCCTGCTCCTCGTCTCTATCCCCGCTACTCACTCAACCGACGCCTGTCAGCATCCCCAGCCCATTCCACACTTCAGGTCACTCCTCCGCCCTGACTACTCTCACCTCATCGACCTCCTCCACTTCACGCACTCGAAAGCACCTAACTGCCCATCGGTCTTCGCTATCCCCGCCGTCACACAGACGTCTAAACTAAGTACAACAGAACGCTTCATCATTGGGCCTTTCGACAACATGAGTGCAAATCCTCTGCCCTAGTTTGCTACGTGGACCACCACCAGATTTTATCCTTTTGTAAATTCTATCAACAGCAAGTTCAAGAAACTCTCTGGTCGCATAGACAAGCTGGAGGCCTCAAGCGCGGAGGCCCATGGGGTGGCGATGCAAACCCAGGGAGAGTTAAATATCCTGATGAAGTGCGCGACACTTACGGATACCTGCGAGATTTGCATTTCGGGAATTCTGAAATGCTTTTCTGAGAATTGGGCCGGCTCCATCCACACTGTTCTAGAGCTGACTGATAATCTGCAAGCACTCAATCACATCTGCAGTCAGTCCATCGACACAAGCTGGCACGTCCTCTAATGACAATGATACTACGTTCGTCACGATCAAAATATTTTCACCAGGAATCCGTAATGATTAACCTAATCCCCTTCAAATTACCTGACTACTTTCAACATCTCGCAGCACGCTCATCTAGTGCTGGAGAAACCGCAGTCCAGCTGGGCCGCCCCGCGAAAAAAGATTATTTTTCTATCTGTCACGTGTTCTATCTGTCTATGTTAACTGTTTATCAATTAGTTTAACTCGATTATAGATGACAGTGATAGATAAATCATTTATCTGATGAACAAAATTTTTTAGATTAACAATCTTTTCGAAAACTTGGAAACTGGAATATTTTAGAAAAGCAGCTTTCCTATGTATTATTAAATATTTATGAACTAATAATAAACTTATTACTTTTTAAATATACAAACAGTTGTTCATAAAATGTTTTCACATTTTTTCAAAATCCTCAAAAATTAGAAAAATAATTTTTTTGTGGTGTATAAATACAATAATTGATTTCTATAACGCTTCTTTCTTTCACAAATTCTTCTTTGTGTTTTAGGTGATTTTCAGAATTCTGGACGTTTATCACACAATAAGTTGGAAAAAGCTCAGTTCTAAATTCAGAAGTGTAGGAGGAATTTAAATTTATATGTAGCAACGCTGGAAACTAATATTTTTATAAGGATAAACTTAATTAATGCTTTCACGCATACTGGACCTCTTCTTTCTCGTATTATTATTATGAAAAAAAAAAAAAAAAAAAAAAACGAATTATAGATTCTTTTAAAAACATAACAGGCTTATAAGTAAGTAATCTTTCACTCAAACAAAAATCGGAAGGTTGAAACAGATCCTATAAATGCAATTTTAAGTGGTTTTCATACAAGGTTATATGTTAAATTCTAACTTATTACAACAAACATATGAAAAAAGGCGCAATTGATCTTTTTGCAACTTTCTAATGCTATTTTAAGTACACTTTTTATCATTAAATAACATCTGTCAAGAAAACCTATGTGTGATAAACGTCTTTAAGAGACATTCACTGACATGTTATACTACCATATTAAAAAAAGCAGCAGTATAGGACTTTTTGTTTTAATTTTTAAGATACAATTATATTTTTGGTGTTAAATATGGAGTTAGGAAAAGTGTATGTCCGTGAAGTTAAAGATGTTATCAGCGTAGACGGTCTGGGATTGTTTTTAAATCCTCGAAAGATTCGATGAAACTTCATTGTGTAATACTGGCCAACTTCTAATTTTTGCTCCATATTGTGCTATAATATTTTGTTAATTATTGCTCATTTGTAAAATATTTAAGGACTTATTTAAACCACACCCAACTAACGTAGATTTACTTATTTTTACAATAATTGCACCACTTTTGTGCACAATATCGTTCCATAGAAGGTACATTCAGATTTATAACTATATTATCTATCATACAGTTTTATAAAAGTATAACTTCTTACTTAAGAACCCAAGTGACCACTGTCGACTGATTTATTTTAATTTAAAATTCTGGGCTTTGTCCTATATCTCATTAAAAAAAAAGATAATAAGTAAATAAATGACTTTCTCAAAAATCCAACTAGCGACGCTCTGCACACTGGCTAAGTAATCTGTCCACTCTACTACGAGTGACCCTTATTTAAGATTAATCTCTTTATTTTTATTCTTGTATAGTTCGTAACTTATCTTAAGCTTCGATAGCCATTCTCTGCTTATTAATTAATTAGTCAATTAAACTTTACATGAATTAAAAAATTATACATATGATTAACTACTTATTTTCATATAAGAAAGTGGTACTTTCTAATACTTAGAAGTTAATAATTTTTATGTTACCTGATTCCTTGACGTACAAATGTTACAAGTCAATTATATATGAACAGTTAGTGGTTACACAAAATTCAGTTTCTTATTATTTAAATCTCAATACTAGGGGAACAAAGGATCAAATTGATATCCTGGCTCGGATAAGGGTGGGATGGATCTCCGAAGCAAAAATATATTTTGAGCTGATTATTTCTTAAGACACATATGTAATACCTATACTTTCATCCTCTATACAAATGTATGACAGAAATAGCCCTCCTCTTTAATGATAAATCCTTAAATTTCGAGTCAAAAAATCCCCAACGGATCAAATTTTCAAGTTCTTGGCAAATTAATTTCAGTTTGATTACCACGGTTTTTTATAAAATCATTGGAAAGCTGGGGTGTTAAGCTTTAATTTCCACTTTCCTGCATTCTTTACGATGTATATCAAGAAAGATATTGTTAATTCAAAAGCCTGTCTTTCAAGGGCATGCGTAGACACCCATGTGGGGTACGGATGAGCCTGGGTAGTTTAAGCAACGGTAGCGACAAGTGCATCACATTTATACATAGATATATCAGTTCCCTGCTGTCAGCTGTCGTTTGTGGAAATTGTAGGTTAAGGTTCGATGTTTTTGTTGCTGTTGCGTGGTTTAGAGTGATTTGTAGGTAGCTCATTGTTAGTAAATATAAGTAATTAGGTATTATAGTGCGCAGTTACATGCTAAGTCCAAAAAGCGTTTTTGGACTGATGAGGACGCGTTTTTAAGAGGCTGTTGTGCTCTCTTAAGTTATTTTTTTTTTTGTGATCTCATATATTCATGCACATTGCGATGTGCATCAATCAAAAGCTTAAAATAAATTTATGACCACATTCATAGAGGTTGTCACAGAGCATACATTAAAATTCAATAAGTAAAATACCAAACTAAAAAAATATTCGATTAAATTAGCGATTTCATTTATGCAAGATATGTAGGTCCCATGAAAGCAGCTGGAAGATTACAAGAATTTCCAATTCGTAACAGAAGTCATATAGTTCTAAACTTTAAAAGCTGTTCACCTTAAAAACAAGCAAAAACTTGTCTTCAAAGAAAATTATATTAAAAAGTATATAAATAATTTCGACGCACAGTTAAAAGCTTGGGTTAAACTCAGTAAACGTGATGACTTTGCAAAATCCATTAAGTATGTAAATTTTCTAGAAAATTATATTTTAAAAGATAAATTTAAAGTTTGGAAAAGAAGAAAAAACGTAATGAGAAATACTGCAATAGGTAGATTAAACATTATATCTTCAAAAGATCATTAAAGATGTTTTTCAACTCGTATTAAATAAAGTAACTGGTTCAACATCGTTCGAAGTTATTAGAACATATAAAGAAGTAACGTATGAAACGTTTTAAGAAATTCCAATTAAAATGGGTTTAATAGTCTACGAAAGAAAAATGAATGACATTTCCGAAGAAGTAATTGCTGTTATATTTTTATATCAATTAGGAAAGCTTTTTCCTTGATATTTAACTTCAGAAAACGTTCAGGGTCATACAATACGGAATAGAGACTAAAAATTTTTCTCGAAGGATTTTCCTGATAATAAAGATAATTCAGCTTTTTACTAATTAACCAAACTTAGAATCAGTATATAAATCTTGTATATGCTTCGTTTAATCTTCAGTAAATAAAATGAGCAAAAAAAATCTAGATGGAGAAGTAAGTTCCAGTAACGAAATTTTAGAAATTCAACTCAATGTATAGAAATTTTAATAACGATCAGAATGAAATATTTAATACTATTTGCTAACAAAAAAAAGTTTTTGTATGTATGGTCTGGAAAAGTCTGAAAAAACTGATTTATATAAAATGTTAATTAATAATTTTATTTCTAAAAATAAAAAAAATTTTTGTCACCA